TCCAGGTCTTTCTACAACAAAGTAATGTTTCCATTATACCGTATTTCTTATACTAGAATGGAGTTGAAGCAGAGTGAGGTTTGTTTAATTACAAATGTTCTATTACATGTAGTGCCAATAATGAAGAGACAATAAGCTTTTGAATACAGTCAGGAGATGGCCTTTGATATAACCTAGGCCACTTCATCCACTGAATGGCAGAAAAGAGTAGAGATGCTGTTAGAGTGGTAAGATTTGAATAGGAAAATAAGAGAGTTTCCAACTATTCTTTTTTATTGATATAGAAAGCAAGCTGAAAATGAGGAGGAAGGATAGTAAGAATATGAGGAAAGAGAAGGTGTAAAATGAACAGTGGGACAGTAAGTGTACCAAGGAAGTAAAGTAAGATGGTAAGGCAGTGTTATGTGCTTAGTGGAGATCTGTAGTCCTGAACTGAAAGTGGCCAAGTGGAGTAAGTCAATAAAATTGTATTTTCTCAGGCATGTTCAATCGCTCAGGTACAGGCATGAAGTAGATGGATGGCTGGATTTTATCCAGTGCTGATTTTGCCAGGAGAGCATGAATTCAGGGAATGAGAGGCAAAGGAGTTAAGAATGTTTACAAGGGACGACTGTAATGCCGGACCATGAAAATTTAGCTGGGAAAAGAGAGGAGTGAGATTTTGAGGGAAGAACCAAAAAAACCAAACCCACTGCTGTCAATTCAGTTTTGACTCATAGTGACTCAATAAAGGAGGTGAAATTAAATCATAAAAAAGTGATAGGGTTAATGGATTAGAGGTCTCTTTGAAGTAGAAGAATTGCTGGAGTGTCTAAGGGATCTGGAAGGAAGGAAGGGAGAATAAAGCAATATGCTGGTCTAGAGATGAACACTTAAACTGTAACACAGGCTAGCCATGACAATGTAGTATTAAACTTCGAGGAAGTATACTTTAAGAACTTTTATGATTTTAAATCAAAATTATTTGTAAGAATGTCATAAGTTCCAATTATTATTATATGTGGCATATGACAATTTTTTGAAATAATGTGTTAACTAAATAATTAATTTGATTACATTTCAGCATATAACAGAATTAGGACTAAAAGTGCCCTCCTTCGGCTGTGGGGACCATGGTCTCGGGGAACATCTAGCTCAATTGGCATAACACAGTTTATAAAGACAATGTTCTACATTCTACCTTGGTGAGTAGCGTC